AAAAAAAAAAAAAAAAAAAAAAAAAAAACGTCATCCACAAAATCTGAAAAAAAAGATATGTTATGGAGAAAAATAAATTAAACAAGATTTGCCCGAGCATTACATCCGAATTCCCTACCAAATTTGAAATAAAAATGAAATAAGAAAAACAAATACTAATAATAAAAATAAATAAAAATAAAAAGAGAATTAAATTTAGTGAGTGCGCGAGCATGTTTTCGACACCGTCATCTTTGGCGATTTTTCATGTTTTTTTGGCATAGCTAAATGCCCTGAAAATTTACAGATGTGTACTTCACATGATACAAAACCCACCAAAAAAGTTTCAAAGAATAAAAGAATTGTTTAGACCTCGAACTAAAGTTAAAACAAAAAGTAAAGAGTGAAAAAATATGTGCGCGAGCACGTTTTGACACTGCCATTTTCGCCGATTTTTAATTTTTACTTGGCTCAGCCAAATGACTTGAACATTTACAGGCATGTACCCCTCGTCATAGAGAACTCACAAAAAAACATTTAGAAAAAAATAATTATTTTTAGGCCCCGAAATATTTTTTGGTGGGGGCCGAACGCCGTCGGGTTCGGACCCCGTACGGGACCCCGAATGCCCGTACGTACGGGGGTCTGCCCAGGGACCTCCGTAGGTACGGGCTGGTGACCCTTTATATATATATATATATGAAACTCCGACGAAACAGTTTGTCACAGCCCCTCGTTTGTTGTCGTCTTCTCTCTCTCTGCCTACGGTTTACCGGGCAGTTCTATTTGTGACGATATATATATATAGATTCAATATTTTAATGTTATTTATCAATTACGGATTTTCATTGTATTTAACTTATCTTATTTATCTTCTATTGTATTTATCTTTTTTTATTATCTAATCAAATCAAAATTAAAAAAAATATAAAGTTCAATAGGAATTTAATAAGCTAATCCCATACTACGAGTTGTTTCAGATCCAAGATATACTCATATATATATATATAGGGTTCAGCCTCCTGATGAGTCGGTGAAACTCCGACGAAACAGTTTGTCACAGCCCCTCGTTTGTTGTCCTCTTCTTTCTCTCTGCCTACGGTTTACCGGGCAGTTCTATTTGTGACGATATATACAGGGTTACCTGACCGAACGTTTGGGGGCCCCCGAACGTTCGGGCGTTCGGGGTCCCGTTCGGGGGCCGAACACCTCCATGTTCGGCCCCCGCCAAAAAATCTTTCGGGGTCAAAAAATGATTTTTGTTTTCTGCATTTCTTTTTGCGAGTTCTCTATGATGTAACCTACACGCGGTTAAATTTTGAAGCCATTCTCCTAAGCCAAAAAAACATTAAAAATCGTCAAAGATGGGGGTGTCAAAACGTGCTCGCCCACTCACTAATTTTTTTTTTTTCACTTTTAACTTTTTGTTTTCACTTTATTTCGGGGCCTAAAAAAAAATTATTATTTTTTGAAAAACATTTGATGAGTTATTGATTATGTAAACCACATATCTGTAAATTTTCAGGGCATTTGTCAATGCCAAAAAATAATTGAAAATCGGCAAAGATGGTGGTGTCCAAAAGGTGCCGGCGCACTCACTCATTTGAATTATCTTTTTATTTTTTTATTATTTTTATTGTAGTGTTTATTTTATGTATTTGATTTTTAATTCAAATTTGGTAAAGACTTTGGATGTAGTGCCTAGGCAAATGTTGTTTAGTTTATTTTTCTCCCTAACATATTTTGTTTCCGGAATTTTTTGAAAACTT